TTAGTAGTTAGTAGTTAGTTAGTTAGTTAGTTAGTTAGTTAGTTAGTTAGTAGTTAGTTAGTTAGTTAGTTAGTTAGTTAGTTAGTTAGTTAGTTAGTTAGTTATGATCGCTATAATAATAATTGTTATAGGCATTCAATCCTAACTTCTTTTACCTTATAGTTTGGAAATTCCGCAGCTAACATATTATTGTATTTCAATTCTTCATAGGAAGATCCTGAGCCAAAGGTTACACTTTGCTCCATACTTTGTAAAATTGATTGTAAGCGTGGTTGAAAAGCTCTTCAAAGTATAAAAATAACAACAAATAAATAAAATTTCGGATTTTATAGCTATATTTTTATAGATATATTTTATCAATTCTCACCTATTCCATATTGTCTTACGCATAGTGCGCCAGGCACTAATCTTTTTCATAATTTTTCTCTCAATATTATATTTCAACTCCGAGACATTATAAGACAAACGATATTTATACTCCAGCGACTGAAAACCTCCCAAAGGAGCAGGATTTTTCTTAGTAAAACCGGGCAGCCAACAAGAGCTATCATTCAAATTGAAATTCATCATGGAGACACGTGATTCGGTTTGAATATTTAAGAAGAACTGCAATTCAATGGAAACAAATGCATAAAAATTAATAAGAACTTTATAAAAGCAAAAAAAAACTTACATTATTTGGCGTTACCACCATTTTTATAGATTGCAGAGGACAGAAGACATCCTTTAAAGCATAACGTTTGCCCGTGCAAGGATCTATAAAAAACATTTCACCTTCGTCGCTAGTGTAACAAACAAATGAACATTCACCATAAGGATACGCTATGCCTAAAACTAAGAAGCTTTGAAGACCCATATATAATAAATAGTTGCAAAGTAAAACACCCAAATCCTTGGGGGAACCCCATGTGGTGTCTAAGAGTAACTGGAAACGCGATTAAAAAAGTCTTTAATGTATAATAAGATTTCCAACTAACCTGATTATTTAGCCACACTCCCGAAAATCTCATACAAGGATCATAAAACTTTGGTGTCACTAAAAGTGAAACAAATCTGCAAGCACTGTCCAACAAATTCTCACTAGCTTCTATAGGTGGAGCTATAGCTTGTAAAACTCTTGTAACACATAAACGTTTACCCTCTGCACTGCATACTAAAGGTTCCATAAATTTTTGTGACTGCATTTCTAAGGCTTGCAAACTCCAATTACTAAGATGTTGTCGCACCTCAATTAACTCTGAACATTCCAAACATTTTGTATTTATCGTAGGCAATTCAAATATAGGTTCCAAACTTATGAAACACCATAATCTTATAGATTCCTTAATTTCTGGAAATTGTTCTATCATTATATTAGTTTCAGCATTTGTTGTAATATTTTCGAGAGAAGGTCTTTTATAACCGATAAGAATTTTGGGCGTGTTCAATTCGAAAACACCATCCATCTAGGTGAAAATATATATTCTAATTAAAATTTTTTTTTTGGAATTATAATCTTACCTTTTGTTGCGTTAGTATAGCATTGATGGGTATGCGATATTCCCCCAACCAATTGTTTTGTATTCTCTGATATATATCCATGTTTTTAATGGCTGGGTCATCGTTCATTTGATTTTCTACCACCTCATCGTAAAGAGATATTCTTAGATCATCATGTAGATCAGATAAACTGCCACTGTAAATGTTAAAACACTTAATTTTAAATTCCCGATGTTTGAAAAAGTCGCAAACGAAGAAGAGATAACGCAACCTTAGTCAAGATTAAAGTTCTTTCACTATTACCTCAACTGTAAAATTAGCTGTTCATTCCAGGTAGGATTTGATCCTTCTGCTGTCATGGTGCGACCAAATTTATCCTTATAACTCACAGCTATAAATGGACGTACATTGGAATATTTTAAATCTGTAAAAAACAGTACAAAACATTTATCAACAAAAGTTCAATTCTAAATTCTAAACCCACTCAACTCACTCTGTAATACAAATACATTTGAAGACTCTGGTGTACTCCTGCCCTTACTCTCCGCATCATCGGGATTTGTTATTCTCACCGGTATACCCGTAGCTCTTATTACATTACAAATAATTTTAAAATGTTGAGCATATTCCAGAGATAGGCTAGGACTTGTGGAGCACAAAGACAGATTCTTATCCGCCTGTAAATTAAGTCTAGGCTGGAATATTAATTTAATAGTTTGAAAGACGGCAGCCCAACTAATGGGCTCATCATTCAGCAGCAAATTTTCTCGGCTTTCCACAACTTTCGTCAAGCGGTTGCATTGATTTTGTATGGCTGCATAAAGAGCGCGTAAATATTTCTTACCCTCGTGTTTATGCAAATCTATGGGATCCATCCAGTTACCCGGATCTATAACCGATTCCTGCGATTCCCATTCAAATTCCAGCTCATGATCTAGCATTGGTATAAATTTTAAATCTCTAGTTCTAGCATCATTTTTCAAATATCGTGAATGTAAAAGTTTTAATCGGGGATTATTCTCTAATTCAATAGGATCACAAAATCGTAAAAGGTCTTCCTGGAAGGTACAGGTATTACAAGTTATAGCCTCTAATTTCTCAGTATCATCTTCGGTATCACTGCTAGCATTCTCAGGTAATAAGGCTAGTTCCGGGGGTTTCAGGCGTAGTAAGAAGTTTTCTATCATACCATTCCTTCAACAGATTTTTGGGGTATTGTTGTATGTTGTTGAGGTCCCGGAAATAGTTTATTGACTATTTCATTAGGATAGAATTGTTCATCAGTTTCTAGAATAAGCCTTAAATAACCAGATATAGGTGTTTATGTGAAGAAAAAGTTATGGTTATAGTACGTGGTTCTGTTTCGATATGGGAGGTTAGAGGCAGCGGTACAATGATATTTGCAATTTTTTGAGCCGAAGATATTTTCGATTTTTTATAAAGCTGAAAAAATAAATCAGGAAAGTAAATATGTAAATTGAATTCTAGTTCAGTTCAGTTCTAGTTCAGTTCTAGTTCAGTTCTATTTCAGTTCTAGTTCAGTTCTAGTTCAGTTCTAGTTCAGTTCTAGTTCAGTTTCTAGTTCAGTTCTAGTTCAGTTCTAGTTCAGTTCAGTTCTAGTTCAGTTCTAGTTCAGTTCTAGTTCAGTTCTAGTTCAGTTCTAGTTCAGTTCTAGTTCAGTTCTAGTTCAGTTCTAGTTCAGTTCTAGTTCAGTTCTAGTTCAGTTCTAGTTCAGTTCTAGTTCAGTTCTAGTTCAGTTCTAGTTCAGTTCTAGTTCAGTTCTAGTTCAGTTCTAGTTCAGTTCTAGTTCAGTTCTAGTTCAGTTCTAGTCAGTTCTAGTTCAGTTCTAGTTCAGTTCTAGTTCAGTTTAGTTCAGTTCTAGTTCAGTTCTAGTTCAGTTCTAGTTCAGTTCTAGTTCAGTTCTAGTTCAGTTCTAGTTCAGTTCTAGTTCAGTTCTAGTTCAGTTCTAGTTCAGTTCTAGTTCAGTTCTAGTTCAGTTCTAGTTCAGTTCTAGTTCAGTTCTAGTTCAGTTCTAGTTCAGTTCTAGTTCAGTTCTAGTTCAGTTCTAGTTCAGTTCTAGTTCAGTTCTAGTTCAGTTCTAGTTCAGTTCTAGTTCAGTTCTAGTTCAGTTCTAGTTCAGTTCTAGTTCAGTTCTAGTTCAGTTCTAGTTCAGTTCTAGTTCAGTTCTAGTTCAGTTCTAGTTCAGTTCTAGTTCAGTTCTAGTTCAGTTCTAGTTCAGTTCTAGTTCAGTTCTAGTTCAGTTCTAGTTCAGTTCTAGTTCAGTTCTAGTTCAGTTCTAGTTCAGTTCTAGTTCAGTTCTAGTTCAGTTCTAGTTCAGTTCTAGTTCAGTTCTAGTTCAGTTCTAGTTCAGTTCTAGTTCAGTTCTAGTTCAGTTCTAGTTCAGTTCTAGTTCAGTTCTAGTTCAGTTCTAGTTCAGTTCTAGTTCAGTTCTAGTTCAGTTCTAGTTCAGTTCTAGTTCAGTTCTAGTTCAGTTCTAGTTCAGTTCTAGTTCAGTTCTAGTCAGTTCTAGTTCAGTAGGTTCAGTTCTAGTCAGTTCTAGTCAGTTCAGTTCAGTCTAGTCAGTTCTAGTTCAGTTCTAGTTCAGTTCTAGTTCAGTTCTAGTTCAGTTCGTAGTCTCAGTTCTAGTTCAGTTCTAGTCAGTTCTAGTTCAGTTCTAGTTCAGTTCTAGTTCAGTTCTAGTTCAGTTCTAGTTCAGTTCTAGTTCAGTTCTAGTTCAGTTTCTCGTTCAGTTCTAGTTCAGTTCTGTCAGTTCTAGTTCAGTTTAGTTCAGTTCTAGTTCAGTTCTATTTCAGTTCTAGTCCAGTTTTAGTTCAGTTCTAGTTCAGTTCTAGTTCACTTCCAGTTCTAGTCAGTGCAGTTCTTTGGCTTACTCACCTTAATTCTTATATCCTTCGGAAGCCTTCTATTCAACATGATGCCCAACTTCTCGTTGATTGCAACGCTCAAATCTCTTTCCAAACGATAAACTCTAGTTTCGCCCACCATCTGTCGATCAAAAAATATGCGCATAAATAACTTTGTAATTTTCGAGGCCCTGGCAAATCGACAAAATCATTATTATTAGCAAAAATACGAACAACCTCTACACGAGGTTCCTTAGGATTAAGGAAACATTTATTATATTTTTCTCTCAACTCTGAAGACAATAAACCTATATCTGGTTTACGTGGCCTAGATATATATATTCCACCTTCCGCTTTATGTTGCTGCCTTAAGCGTTTATTACGATAATACTCCTCCAAATGTTCGCGATAGATTTCATTAAGATCTGCATCAAAACGTTGAGTCCATAAACGTTGGCGTATCTTACTTTCCGCTAAAGTTAAGTCTTCTATTTTGATGCGTAACTTTAGTCTGGTGAATTGATGCTCTTGTTGTTGTCTTAGATTTTTCAGCTTGATCCAACTATTCAAAATTTCTTGCAAAAGTTGTTTATTCATGAGTTCCTCATCGTAAAGTTTTTCACGTAAAGCTTTCACTTTATACAGATGATGTTCAATTTTTAAAGCTTTTTTCTCTTTGTTGGAGGTTTTATCATTACGTGAGTTATTTTCTGCTGAGGACAACAGTTCGTTTAAAATATTCCGCTCGATTTGTATATCGGCATATAACTTTTCCGTTATTTTCTCCTGTAAACGTTGTTGGCGATGTTCGTATAAAAGTTCCAAGTTATTGGCCAAACGATGTTCTTCTTGCAGCAAAGGATGTTCGGTGAAACGCAAATCCTTCAAATGTAAAGTTAAAAGTTTCTTAGAGGGTATGGCTAAACCGTCCAGAGAAGGTTCCATAAAAATGGGTTTAAATTTAAACTCACAAATGGTCTTGTAAAGAACTTCATCTTTAAAGTAATTTTGATATGTTTGGAAATTCTTTATTATTATGTTTACAACTGTTTTGTCCACTTTCTCTTTGCGTGCTTTAAATTCCATGAGAAAACGATTTATTAGTAAAATAGTATTTTTGTCCAATTTCCTTTCCAAAGTGAAAGAACCTAAACTAGTTTGTAAGTCTAGTTGTGGTAGGTAAATAAACTCCTCTTGTTGTTTTAGAAATGGTAAACTTTCTATTCTCACTAAACTGTGACGGTCATCCGGTTCTATTTGTATAAATGTGGAGGCCAATGTAGGCTGTATACTTCTAGTTGTGGTGGACACATCATCTAATGACTCTTTTGACAGTCTTCTTTCATTTTCTGACTCTTCACTGTTAATTTCTTGTATGGAATAAGCTGTCGTTGTGCTCCTTGCTGTATCACCATTATCCTGCTGTTCTACGTTGAGGCCACAAAAAAATATTTCACTCGGTGATTTATTATCCTCATCGTGTTGGCTATTATTGCTGGACTCACTGAATAAACTAGTGTTCTCCAGCAGTGTCATTACCTCTTTTTCATTTTTCTCAAATTCTTGGGTTAATTGGATTTTTCGTTTATTTTTTTGTGGCGGCTGCTGCTGTTGTTGCCGCTGTTTTGTTTTAGTTTTTTGTGTTTTTAATTTCTTTTTACGTTTTGCAACTGCCTCGTATTCACTCATCTTTAACAGTTTGCCAAGAAATGAAGTGTTGTATGTTTTTGTTTAATTTTCTTTTTGAGTGTTTTGAATTTTTTTTAGGGTTTTTTTAGCCTTTCATCGTTTCGATATGGTTGTCAAGGTAACGATAATTTCCCTTTTTGCGGCTAAAACACAGGTGTAGTGTTGCATTTTAGGGGTTTAAATTTCTAGTGCAAGACACTAAGGGTTGAAAAACGAATTTTATAATAAAGTTGTATAACTTGAGGTCAATATAAGTTTTGTGGAGTTTAAAGAAATTTTGAAAATCAAATTTTTTTAAATAAAAAAATTCTTTAAGCAAAATTTCTGTACATAAAAGCTATATTTCAGTCAAATTTTGTATCTATATCGTAATTTTGTAATAAGTTAGGAGTGTTTATGTGATTTTTTGAAGGGAAACTTGTATGGGACCGACCGCACCCATGTTATGAACCGATCGTGAAAAAATCTTGAAATAGAATTTTTGTATACAAAACTAATATTTGTGCCAAATTTT